CGTGCCAGGGTGCACCAGGCCATGCCGCATTGCAGCGTGCAGCGATGCACCAGGCCATGCTGCATTGCAGCGTGCCAGGGTGCACCAGGCCATGCCGCATTGCAGCATGCCGCAATGCACCGGGCCAGCTTGCACCATGCTGCACTGCACCATGCCAGGTTGCACAGGGCCATGCCACGTTGCACCATGCCACGTTGCACCGTGCTGCTTTGCACCGTGCCACATTGCACAGTGCCACATTGCACCGTGACACTTTGCACCGTGACACTTTGCACCGTGCCGTTCCATGCCATATTGCACCATCGTGTGTTGCACCGTGCTGTGTCGCATTGCACTGTGCCGTGTCATGCCGTGTCACATTGCACCGTGACATGTCGTGATGTGACACATTGTGCTGTGGCACATTGCACCATGCCCAATTGCACCATGCTGCGTTGCACCACGCTGTGCCATGCCATATTGCAGCACGCTGCATTGCACCGTGCTGTGCCACATTGCTCTGTGCTGTGCCATACCACATTGCACCATGTTGTGCCATGCCACACTGCATGTGTGCATTGCACCATGCCATGCCACATTGCATGGTGTCACATTGCACCATGACATGTCGTGATGTGACACATTGTGCTGTGGCACATTGCATCATGCCCAATTGCACCATGCTGCGTTGCACCACGCTGTGCCATGCCATCTTGCAGCACGCTGCATTGCACCGTGCTGTGCCACATTGCTCTGTGCTGTGCCATACCACATTGCACCATGCCGTGTCACATTACACGGTGTCACATTGCCTGGTGCCACGTTGCATGGTGCCACATTACACCGTGCCACATTGCAACCATGCCATGCCACATTGCACTGTGCCACATTGCATGGTGTCACATTGCACCGTGCCACATTGCGCCGTGCCACATTGCACTCTGCCACATTGCGTGGTGTCACATTGCACTGTGCCACATTGCATGATGTCACGTTGCACCATGCCACATTGCACCATGCCGTGCCACATTGCACTGTGTCACATTGCGTTGTGTCACATTGCATGGTGTCACATTGCACCATGCCGTGCCACATTGCATGGTGCCACATTGCCCC